TGCACCCGAATTTTACGCTGCAGTCGGGCTCCATTGAACATGATATCGCCCTCCTGCGATTGCAGATAGCCGTCGTGGCCGGTAACTATGTACAATTGTTTTGACCCTTCTGCTTATTTGCACTATCGACCGCAGAGGACGGAACCCTGTTCCCCTGACACACAAACTATCCATTGCTTTGTGAACCAAATTTTAATGACGTTGCTTTGAGATTCACTACACTCCCACTTAGGTTGATGATCAGTGTCTTCTAGGTTTAAATATTCACTCCACAACTGAGGCTGTCCTAGATGAAAGTATTTCCATACTCCACTGCATATCTTGTCCAGTTTTAAAGTTTAGTGGGCGGGTATTGAATAGACGTTTGGGCGGCTGAAACAGTAGGTCTACTCCATCATCAGGCCATTTTCCACGTTGTACGTAAAAGACGGAAGGCACTAGAATGAGGAATTTATTGCGCACGTAACTCTGCGGTGGCCACTGGCGATGCCCTGACTAATTTTGACTGCCCTCAGTCATTCCTGAGGGAGAGAGAGAAATGTGGCAGATGTGAGCATATAGTATGGCGAGTGCTGCATGCATAATTTTGTAAAAGTTTGATCGTTACTCGCCTACCGGCGTGAACACATTTTCGAAAACTTAGAAATAATAATAAGCAGCAATAAGCATACTAAGTTCTGAAAAGAACGAGAAGAAGTACTCAGTTTTGTTTTAGGAAAAGCAAAATTTTCCAGATAATGCCCAGGTTCCGGAAAAGTAAAAAATAGCTATAAATTATAATAATAGTTTTAAGTGTCTTCGTGGGTAAATGGATAAATTGTGCTTCTGTTCGATGTATACATCAAAACCTTTAAAAAAGGATATGCATGAAAAGCCTGTACCGAAAAAAATTAATGTTCAAATATTATTTCTTATGAAGATGAACATGGAGATCATATAAAGAAGTGCCTCAAACAGCAAACCACACTATCGAGGAAAAAAAAACGTCCGCAAGATAACTCGGCTATTGTTATTTTTAAGATTAATAAATAAACTTTCCATAATAGGTTGCCTCCTTAAAAAGTTCTTTATTTAGATACTCAGCTGACGAACTGCCGTCTATATTAATTATTATCAAGGTAACGTCACAATGAAATTAGAGACTTTTGACAATTTTTTTGATATAGGAGAAGATGAATAATTCAGTTCGACTGATCAGGAAAGAACCTACTTTTGTCTTCATAATGGATTATTTTCCTCATGAATGGATTAATTCCACGATCATGTATAAGCTTTCGAATGCACAAAAGACTGGCCATTTATATGGCCATTTTTAAAATACTTATTATTCTGCTGTTTGCTCAGTTTCTTTAAAACACATAAGCGGAAATTGTTTTTTTTTGCAAAAACGTATATTTCTGCCTGACTTCCATTTAATAAGGCCTCCTTTACATCACCTTCACGGAAACATATATTCCAAGTTCATAGTTATCGGTGCAATAAAAAAATGTTGTCACACAAACTGATTACTGCACTTTTTGACAAAATTCTTAACAGAATAGCAAAATATAATCCTTAAAACTTAAATTGGTTCTTGTTTCTGAAACTAATGCGATTTCTTAAAATTGGCTTCACTTCCATTTGAGCAACTTCGGATAATTTTTTTTCAGTTCTGGAATGGGTAACTACTCTATATTTTTTACTTATTCTGGAATTATTCCATAGCACAATGCATATTAATAAAAAAATTTGATTCTGTTTTAGCATAGGAAATTTCTTCGATATAAACCTTCTCATAATTTAGCCAAAATTGGTGCCTATTTAGCTCCATAACTTTAACTAAGAGGGCAGTTCTCCAAACCAAAGCCTTTTTAATTATTAAATTCACTCAGTTGATCAAAATAACCTCTCCAAATATGTGCTAAACTACCTAGTTAAATTTCACCATGAAAGCCGCATGCAGGACTTGCCATACTGCATATGTTATTCTGCAGCAAATTCAAATGGTATCCAACTAGTGTTTTGTTTTTGAGCCTCAGTGTATTTGGTGAGGATAATTGGTAATGGCTTTGAGAACTCTATAGATTATCGCTGATTGGGAGGGGAGGAGGTGTTTGCAGACACTGACTCATGCGGCGTCGGCAGAGGACTCAGATCAACTCAGGTTCTATTAGGAAAATATAGGTAAATACCTTTCAACGCCCTCTTGGTGCAGAGCAGCTATGATGCAGAACATGTGGCGTTGCCAATAATGGAACTGCTTTAAAAGGGCAGACAGTAAAAAATAACTGCTTAGGCATTTAGTTGACCCAATTATGAAAAAACTCGCGGCATTCGGCGGGATTCGAACCCGCATTAGACATTGTTCAGAATTTTAGGGGTTTAAGTGTCATTTTCCGGATTTTAAGGAGAAAAACTGTCGCCCGTGGGGGCAGGGGGGGGTGGTAGAGTATTTGCAAATCGGCTGGGCTGTCGCTGAAAATGTTTTAAGCATGACTGGTGTGTTCAAGTAGCCCCCTAAGCAGCCTTGGCTACCTGAATGCGCCCGTGTGCCGAGTGGAGCTCGGTCAACAAGTAGGAGACATCCACATCAAAATGACTCAAGAGTTTGGCGAGCTTTTCCGTACATGAAGAATATATCGGAAGTGGTCTGCCCCCTACTCACACCACTTGGAGTTGGGACCAGAAGCAACCATCAGGCGCCGGCTCATGAGACCGAAAGACCCACTGCCACAGCAGGAAACGGTTGGAGTCATTTACCGGATCTGGTGCGGTTCTGGAAAAAATAAGTACGTCGGAGAATCCGAGAGATTAATCCTAACGCGAATGGCCGAGCATGCAGCGGCGGTGAGGAAGAAAGACGCCAACGCCCACGGTGTAGTGAGAAGTTTCCTGAGCAAGACAATAAGTCACGTGGGAAGGGCTGGGCGCAGCAACAACTCTGATGACAGCGGGCATAGTTGTCACGCGATTATCAGGCCCCCATCTAACGCTGACAAGGCAATCGTGGCAATTGATGAGTTGAACGCGAAGTGTCAAGCCAGTACCGCACCAATTAAGTCCCAAGCGGTGGCTACATAAGTGGATAGTTATCGTATTTAGGCAGATGACCATTATGAACTATAAATAGCGTGCAACCTGTGTATGTTTCTACCCTATCCGCGCATGACTATGACTATGCTACCATTACCTATGATTAAGGATTCCCGATGGAATCCGAAATGTCAGGGAATAAAACTCTTGTTCCAGTGGTCACATCCTCTTCTTCTGAACTGCTTCCTAGAACGCGTATATTCTCCACTATTGGCAGTCTTTCTTGTCTTCGCCGGTAATACTATTTACCTACAATACCAGTTACCACGGCTTTCAGGGCCTTTGTCGAGGCCCTAGGCAGAACGGGGCAGATGAGTTCCGTTAGTGGTCGGGTGAGCGTTTATCAATGAGAACCAGTACTATCATCTCACTTGCCTGAATAACGTGCACATGGACAGGTTTCAAATCAATGACTAGTCACCAGTCACTGCAGACGGAAACGGCTCTGTAATAAAGTCAAATCAGTGATTTTATTTGTCCGTCACAATTTCTTGTTCAAACACAAATATAAGTAGAGTGCTACGAAAGACCTTCCTGCTGTAAGAAAGGACAATTT